TCTCTTTTAGAAACAGGCTTGACTTACCCTGATTTCTCGAGTTTAACAAACCTGCCATTTTGAAACGGAAAACCCAGAGTTTCTCTCATTTCAGGGTTAAACTACTCTGAGTTTTAACTTAACCTGCTTTCTGAAACAGGCCCCAGGCCTGAAACACATTGTTTGGTTTTGCTTTCAGTTTGGCGGTAGCGATCCATGAGGGATCGCCACCGCCTGTTTGTTTTGCATTTATTCGTATTTGAAAGTTCTTTGAGCGTTCGTCTGTTCTCCGCCTCCTTCTTCTTGACGCCTAGGAAGCCATCTAAATCATTACACATCGGTCTTATTTTCTCCCCGAGTGAAATACGGAGCCTTACTGTATTTTACAGCTGACAAATGTGGAATAGCCTCTAATTGATCCCCCACTAAATTGAATGCATTATGCATGCGGCAGTCTTGGTGAGCGATGAGACAAATATGATGCATTATTTATGGGATAAATTTCTGGAGTATTATGCTATAATCATCAGTCTTTTATGCATCTCTATTCATTACTGAACTGGAGAGCAGCTCTTCATGCAACAGTGCAGAAAGTCAGAGAGGACTCACGGTGAGAGATTACTGGCATGGCCAAGTCAATAAAGATACAGTAGGAGCCAGAATATTAATTATAAAAAATATCACATAGCAGACAAAGGGATTCTATTCACTTTGCTGCTGTAAAGCTCGGCGAGCACAGGATAATCACGGTGTCACGTTAGCGTGATCAAAACAGGAACAAAAAGGTGCTGATCCAAGTGCAGGTTTATTTACAATCGTGCAGCAAACAGAAAAACAAGGTGTCCGGTGTTCAAAAATAACAAAGTCACAAACAAACAGCAAAAACAAGAAACTATGACAGAAACAGGATCAGGAACAAGACTAATGCCTAATTCAGACTGCGTGATTTTAGCCCCGATTTTGGCTCGCCGACAGGTTTTGAGAAATCGCCGACAAATGCCTGAAATCACAGGCAAATCGCTGCTCGTGCACGTGAGTGACAATCACACAGTATGAACTATCAAAGATGCGATCTGAGAGAATCACCGATGACTCGCCGATGCCTGTGAGATATTTGGCATGCTAAATATCTGGAGCTGTCGGCGATTCAAATCATGCCGTGTGAATTGAGTTTTGACTGAAAATAACATCAGCCTACAGCCAATGAGAGAGCAGCTTTCACTTGTGTGTGCGTGTGTGTGTGTATACCTGCTGCAGGCCAGCGGGAGGCTGGGGGAGAAGTTAAAAGCGCTCTTTTTCGGTTTATTTGGACCCATGAAATGGAGGAAAAACTAGTGGAGGTTTGACAGGACTCAGGAGCAACCGTGTCTGTTTGACGTTTCATACAGAAAGAAATTAGTTTATTATCAATGTTGAGGTGAAATGGCTAATTCCCTTTAAACCCAGGTGAGCAAACATGTACATGTTCTACCCCATTAAAGGCTTCTTTCTCATTATGTAGTTAATAAAAAACGACATACAACGTGTTTTTGGCTGTGAGACGTAGTTTGGACGAACTTGTCGCCGATTCTTCCAATAGTAAAGTCATGCAATGTGAAAGTCCCTGTCACCGATCCATCTTGCAGTGTAAACAAAGCAGCGACGAAACGCTAGCCCAGATAGTCAAGCAGTGTGAAAACATCTGTGACACGACTACTTTGAAAATCATGCAGTCTGAACTCGGCATAAGGTAACAACAAACTCGATATACAAGACTTACTAGATACTGATGACAAGATAGACAAACGATGCAGTAACAAACAGAGGTGGAATCGTTGAATATATAGTCCAGGTAATCAACGGAGATTGGAGACAGCTGTGGTTGAAATCAGTGTAGATGACAGACCGGGTGTGTGCGCGAAAGAATGTATGGAAATGTAGTTCCACTCAGTGTCTATTGAACTACAGCGCCCTCAGGTGGTCACTGACAATCGTGACACATGGAAAATAGTGATGGGAAGTTCGGATCATTTTACTGACTCGGATCTTTGAGTCTCGTTCATCGAGATGAACGAATCTTTTTTCAAGTCATTTCGTTGATTTTGTTCAATTTGCCAAAATATTATTAAAATGTTATGAATTGCTTCCGAACACATCTACAACTAGCCCAAAAGGTTGATCCCAAGACAAATAAGTCATAAATAGAAAACTATAAGAAGGAGAAAATAATAATTTAATGTTCACCTGCTCTTTTGTCTATGAAGGTATTGTTGTCTCTTTGCTCAGCTCACCTCTTCATGCCTTCAAATGTCAGGGGTTCGTTCATGTTACACTGACAGTCACATATAATCTTAACCAATGTACACAGTCTGAGCCGATAGGAGCCATGATAATTACTTCACTTTTTAATTCAATTCTTTTTCCGGCTCTAAATGCGTATGATTGGCCCATGAGGAACGAATGACTCAAACCAGATAGAGTACTTGAGAGATGATCGGTTCAATTCTTTTTCCGGCTCTAAACGCATATGACTGGCTTCTGCCTTTCCGCGATGAACGACTCAAAAGACTTGAAATGAATGATACCACCTGCACAAAATGTGGGCACGCGCGTATGAATGAATCACTCCCTGAGAGGACTCGTAGTTCCTGAGTCATATTGAAGATTCGTTCAAAATGAACGAATCGTTCATGAACGACCCATCACTAAGAGAACACTTTTGAACTGTCTTTATTATACCTATTTAGTGCACTAAAGTAGTCACAAAAACTACCTGTACTAACCCCAAACTTAATCCTCATCCTATTTAGTAATCATACTTAATAATAACTACTGGTAATGACAGGGAAATGCAGCATTTATTGGTTTGTAGTGGCTGTAGTCTATAAGACTATAAAGTGAGTCTATATCAAGGTTAAAATAGTTTTGGATTTTCCATTTAGCTTCATTTGTTTTTACTTTTTGTACTCTAATTCAATTAGTTTTATTTAGTTTTTAGAGATAGATTTACTAGTATTTGTTAGTTTTTATTTATATCTTGACATTTCTTATTTATAGTTTAGTTTGTATTCGTTTCAGTGTACGTTGTTACTAAAAGCTCAACCAAAGATACTTTTTTATTATTATTATTATTAAACGCCAATGGAAGCGTCAGCCAATCAGATTTCTTTATGCAAATACCCCAGCTCAGACAGTAGCCAATTGCCGACGAATTTCATTGGCTGACGGTGCTATGACAATCATGTCAAACCTTTTATCAATGATTACATTTTAAACAAGTGGCAAACGGAATGGGATGCATTAGAAAGCAATAAATTACATGAAATCTAACCTGAAGTTTCACACAGAATTTTAAGACATTTTAAGAATCGATTTGATCAAGTAGTTTTTACAAGGTGTCGTATTGGGCATAAGAGAATAACACATGGTTTTTTGCTCCAAGGTGAAAACCCTACTCAGTGTTTGAGCTGCAAAACTCCTCTTACTGTAAAACATATTTTACTGGACTGTCCTGCTTTTACTGAAAAAGTAAAAAAAAGTTACTTTTAACCAGAAAAGATTTTAGAATTTTTATCATGTATTAACACAAAAAATCTTATTTAATTTATGTTTTATTTTGTTTGTTGATTTTTAAATTGTATATTTATTGTTGAAAGATTTCTGCCATGAAGATAGCCTTGGTTGCTGACATGGCATTAAATAAAAAAATACATTACATCATGGCAAACATGTCAGCCCCAACTACAGACACGGCCTCGGTCAAGCATTGACGCTAAAGCCCTGTGTGAAAGCACGTAAACTCATTCATTCTATCTTGGCCGTGATGACAGTACGTAAGATTTTACTAGAAATTTTACAAACTACTAGTATTCAGCTTAAAGGTAATTAGAAAAGTCATTGTATGTACAGTTGAAGTGCCCCTGTTTATTTTTTTTCACCAATATCTGTTTAATGGAGGGAAGATTGTTTCAGCACATTTCTAAGCATAATAGTTTTAAAGACTTATATCTAATAACTGATTTATTTTATCTTTGACATGATGACAGTAAATAATATTTTACTCAATATTTTTCAAGACACTTCTATACAGCTTAAAGTGACATTTAAAGGTTTAACTAGGTTAATAAGATGAACTAGGCAGGTTAGGGTAATTAGGCAAGTTATTGCATAATGATGGTTTGTTCTCTAAATTATCGGGAAAAAAATGAGCTTAAAGGGGCTAATAATTTTGTCCAAAAAATGTTTTTTTAAAAATTAATAACTGCTTTTATTCTAGCCGAAATAAAACAAATAAGACTTTCTCCAGAAGAAAAAAATATTATCAGACATACTGTGAAAATTTCCTTGCTCTGTTCAAAATAATTTGGAAAATATTTACAAAAATAAAATCAAATCAAAAGGGGGCTAATAATTCTGACTTCAACTGTAGAAGAACACAAGTGAGGTCAGACACTGATAGACAAGAAGTTCTGGCTCACAATCAATGCTCTAAATTATCCTAAAGATATTCCTCCGGGTTGAGTTCAGGATGTTGGTCAGGCCAGTCCAGTACTTCCACACCTAACTCCTCATTCATGTCTTTATGAAGCTTGTTTTGTGCACCGGTCTTGTTCAAGAGGAATCATCATCCCCAAACCTTTCCCACAAAGTTTGAAGCATATAATAGTTCTATATTAGGGCTGTATTATTTAGCAAAGGAACAACCAATGAAAACTAGTTTTTGGGTAATTTGCATAGATTTGCATTTTTTAGGGATGTTGATTAATTCATTGTGCAAACAATGCTATTAAATAAACAAGTAAACAAACAAGTACATTAAAAGTTCATCAAAGCAATCTCTGATGGTGACTTGATAAAGTCTGACCAGCCCGTTTAAATTAGCTTTGAAAGCACTTTATATTGCCATTGTGTCTGAAATGTGCTATATACAGAAAATAAACTTGCCTTGCCTATATGTCACTCAGTATAATGTCTAAGCGGATGAAAGCCAAAGGTTGAGAAAAGAAAAGCGTCTGCATTTCAGGAGGAGGGCTCAAACTGACCTGTGCTGTCTGAAGGAAAGGCCCATGTGCTGCTTCATCTGCTGCAGGCCGTGGTAGTCCGTATAGATGAGGTCAAAAGGCAGCGGGCCAATCAGAGGACAGCTCCCTCTTCCTGGAGGCACGCCGAGTGAGCTGCGAAGAAAAACAACAAGCTTTGACAAACTGGAAAACGTGGAGAGGGGTTCAGGTGAAAATGTGAAGGCTCTCCTCAACATTGCTGGAATAGTTCAGACTTTCAGATTTTTCATTTAAACAGTAGGATTCCTGCCAACTGTTATGCAAAACAGATATTTGAGCGGCTCTGTGGATTTCATTTACATTTTGTGCATTAGGAATGTCCTTGATTATTCGTTTTGTAGGATGGCATGCAGTTTAGTGTACTTAAAAACATACACTTTCATAACACTTTTATTGAAATAGGTTCGAATAAAAAGATTTTACATAATGCAATTTAATAAGCTTCCATTGTGCTTTTAAAGGGTCATGAAACCCTCCACTTTCTGTTCAGGTGTACCTCAGAATTTGTTCAAAAGAAGCATGATAATGGGCCTGGAGCTCCGCGAGCAGAAAGCAGGAGTGGGCGTGGCCAGCAGAGCAGAAGAGAGAGAGGGGAGCGAACAACTGTTGTCAGCTCACAAAACGAGACCCATGATTTTATAGTTTACAAAGTTGAAATGCTAAGAAATAAACAGGAATTTAATGCCCTGCTACATTTGTTATTTCATATACACATGACCACAATTTGTTAAAGATAATCATGTTTATATAAACATTATAAATGAGGACTTTTCCCTCAATCCCCGGGTCTGAATGCAGACTCGGTGCAGCAGGTCTCTTGCCCTGTCTATTTTAACCATTAGCCCTGTTGGTAATCTGGCCCGGTTTTTCAAAAGTAATCCACTAGGATTTTGGATAAGGGATTGGATCAAATCTTGAAAATGGGTTTTTCAAAAGAAAAAACGGATTACATAATCTGATTAGATCACGTAATCCAATCTTGGTTTTAATCCGGATCAAACCTTTAGTTTGGGTTTTTCAGACCTTTTTTGTAGGATCTGGATCACTTTGATCCAAAAAACATGGATTAAACTGATCCCATCAGAAGGGTGGATTTAGCGTGGATTTTATGCCTAAAATGTAATGAAAACTTAAAAAATGTATTAAACAATACTATTTTTGGATCATGCAGTATCTTACGAGATATACTATTTATTCATAAGGTTTTAATTTTATTTGTTCATCTGTCAGGCTATAGTGATTATTGGCTTTAACGTATTTAGCCTTTCAGTATAGGCCTACAGCAAAGTAGAAAGAGTTTGGCCTCCTAAAATAATCCCCCAAACAGCTGTCAAAACTGACCAAAAACAATCAATTTTATTCTGTCACTAATTGATATATATATGTATTCATCACAATGGAAAATATTTTTCTTATTAGAATATTTATTAATGATGATAGCAATGATTACAGAATAAACAAAAAATGCAAGAAAGGGCAATGACTGATTTTTGAAATCTCTTTCAACAATTGCAAAAAGAGACTGAAAGGGCAGAAGCACAGCTTCATCTGGCAGAGGAACAACTGACTCTGACCAAACTGCAGCAAACCAAGGCCAGACTTGAGATCCGCCTCCTAAAGGATACGCTTCACATCAGATGAGGAAGTCTGAGATTATTGTGGAGTTTTTGACATTAAGTATTTTTTTTATTTACATCTATATTGGAAACTTATTATAAATATCCTCAATGTATAGTGTTTGTGTTGTAGGTCTCAGATGAGCGGACTGCTGGAAAAGGATGGGGTGGGCTTTTTCTTGTTTTTCTTATTTATTATTATTATTAATTTAATATTTATTACATTTTCTTAGTTTTCATTTAAAAAAAAGAAATTATATTGACCCCACGCTGGCTATTCTACTTGTCGCTCTTTACATATCTATAGTTCTACATTGTGATTTCCTATCCTGTTTGAGCACTGGTAATCCAGATTTAGTGATCCTGAAAAGTTCCTATCCAGATCAGATTGATCCAATCCAATGTTGCTTTGAAAAACTGGCTCAAAAAGTAAGCTGGATTACCTGATCACGGATCGCAAAAACATAATTACTAAATCTGGATCAATTTGATCCGGATTAAACCTTTTGAAATACCGGGCCCTGGAGGATTTAGGCGAACAAAGCGGCACGGCAATGTGTTTAAATGTGAACGAACTCCTGATAAAAGACAACGTCCGCCATTCTCCAATTCTCATACTGCTCTCCTGACAAAAATGCTTGCAGCACACACACAGCTTTGCTATATTAGCCTTGACAGCATCGCGGGGAAAACATTCAACAAACCCAGTGGATCATGGAAACAAACACATGCAACCCTTTATAAACCTTAATACTGTGTGCCGTTTGTGCGTGGATGCGCCTCACCCAATCATCAATGTAGGTCTGTCTTGCCTTCGGAAAGCATGTGCAGTCATGAATAATTAAGAAGCCAGCTCTTTTCATAGGATAAGAAAACTCCACTATGAATAATAATGAGAAACCCACGTGTCATCTTTGCACTTGCAACGTCACCGATCCCGCCCCAAAAATCATTTTAAACTCAGGGCCCAGGTTTTCAAAAGGTTTTATCCAGATAAAATTGATCGGGATTTAGTAATCCTGTTTTTGCGATCCGTGATCACGTAATCCAGCTTACTTTTTAAGCCAGTTTTTCAAAGCAACATCGGATTGGATCAATTTGATCTGGATAGGAACTTTTCAGGATCACTAAATCTGGATTACCAGTGCTCAGTCACAATGTAGAACTATAGATAGGCCTATGTAAAGAGCAACAAGTAGAATAGCCACTGTGGGATCAATATAACTTTATTTTTATTTTAAATAAAAACACACACATTTTAAAAAATAAAAACAAGAAAAACCCTGCCCCATTCTCTTCCAGTAGTCCGCTCATCTGAGACCTACAACACTGTACATTGAGGACATTTATAATAAGTGTCAAATATAGATGTATTAAATAAAAAAAAAGACTTAATGTCAAAACCTCCACAATAATTTCAGACTTCCTCATCTGATGTGGAGGGAGCAGCTTGTCTGAGTGTAGACTTTAGGAGGCGGATCTCAAGTCTGGTCTTGGTTTGCTGCAGTTTGGTCAGAGTCAGTTGTTCCTCTGCCAGATAAAGCTGTGCTTCTGCCCTTTCAGTCTCTTTTTGCAATTGTTGAAAGTGATTTCAGAAATCAGTGATTGTCATTCTTTGCATTTTTTTTTGTTATTCTGTAATCATTGCATGCATCACTAATAAATATTAAAATAAATTTTTCTATTGTGATTAATATATATATATATATATATATATATATATATATATATATATATATATATATATATATATAAATATATATATATATATATATATATATATATATATATATATATATATATATATATATATATATATATATATATATATATATATATATATATATATATATATATATATATATATATATATATATATATATATATATATATACATATATATATATATATATACATATATATATATAAAAAAACTTGTATAATATTATATAAAAATATATATATATTTATATATATATATATATAAAAATACGAATATATCACTCTCTCTGACTCTATCAGTCTGTTTGTATCAGTTTGATTCAGAGTTTTAGAGACATATAGAT